GACACAGTACTCCAGCTGTGGCCTGACCAGTGTTGCATAGAGGGGGAGGATCACCTCCTTGGCCCTGCTAGAGATGCACCTGTGGATGCACGACAATATCTAGTTGACAGCTGGTAACAAGTGGAGTGTCCCAGGGGTCAGTCCTGGGGCTGGTTCTGTTCACTATTTTAATTAACAATCTGGAAGATGGGATGGATTGCACCTTCGGCAAGTTTGCAGATGACATCAAGCTGGGGGGGATGTAGTAGCTATAGTGGAAGGTAAAGCTAGGATTCAGTGACCTAGACAAATTGGAGGATTGGGCCAAAAGAAATCTCATAAGGATCAACAAGGACAAGTGCAAAGTTCTGCACTTAGGATGAAACACTCCCATGTGCTGCTACGGGCTGGGGACTGACTGGCTGGGCAGCAGCTCTGCAAAAAAAGGACCTGGGGGTGACAGCGGACAATAAGCTGAATATGAGCCAGCAGTGTGCCCTTGTTGCCAAGAAAGTTAATGGCATCCTGGGCTGCATTAGTAAGAGCAGTGCCAGCAAACTGAGGGAAGTAATTATTCCCCTCTATTGTGTACTGGTGAGGCCACATCTGGAGTCCTGTGTCCAGTTTTGGGCCCCACACTACACAAAGTTGAAGATAGTTCAGGAGGGCAACAAAAATGGTTGGTGGGCTGGGGCAGATGACTTCTGAGGAGAGGCTGAGGGAACTGGGCTGATTTAGTCTGCAGAAGAGAAGACTGAGGGGGGATTTGATAGCAGCCTGTAACTACCTGAAGGCTGTTACCAAAAAGGATGGAGCTGGACTGCTCTCAGTGGTGGAAGATGACAGTTAGAAGGAGCAATGGTCTCAAATTGCAGCAAGGAAAGTTTAGGTTGGATATCAGGAAAAGAAAACCAACCTCTCACTAGGAAGGTGGTGAAGCACAGGAACAAGTTACCCAGAGAGGCGGTGGCATCTCCATCCTTGGAGATGTTTAAGGCCTGGCTAGACAAAGCCTTGGGTGGGATGATATAGCTGTGGCTGGTCCTGCTTTGAGCAGGGGGCTGGACTAGATGTGACCTCCTGAGATCCCTTCAACCCTCATTTTCTGCGAGGGTATGATTTTTATTTTGTAAAAATAAACCAATTTGAAACGGCAGCTTGTACAACGGCCTCACCTTGCTCTTGTCTATTCCAGTCATGTAAAATAAAATACAAATATTAAGCTGTGCACAAGGACTGGAAGCCACTACCTGACCAGCCAGAACTAGAGCCAATTCAAATGCTCACGCTGCCCATGGCAGCAGGTACAGGGAGTATTTTCTTCACTTCAGTTTATTTGGCTAATTCAGTTCAAAGCCTTGTTCATTTAAAAATAAGGAACTGAACAGAAAGAGAGCAGGTGAGGCAGCCTACGAACCAGAAAAAGACCCAATCGCCTCATTCCAAGATCCGTAAGGAAACAACAGCCAGACAATCAGTGCAACCGACTCGCGGGGTGCTTTCCTTTGCGCTGTTCAATGGGATTTCTCCAGCTTTTCGATGCGGGTTTTATGCCTCCAAGCACAAAGCACACAACAGAAACGCTGCCAGGCTGACAGCTTCCGACCGAGCTGCCGCTCGCAGCCCCGGGACAAACTGCGTCCTCACCTGCGCCTCAGCTGCTGCTCGTTCTCGGCGTCGTTCCAGGCCATCAGCGCCTCATCAATCTCGGACTCCTCATGTATGTTGCTCAGGTGCTCCCGCTTCTTCTGTGCTGCCTCTGCCCTGAACACGGACCTGGTGGAGACGACAACGGTGCCAAGTGTGTCACAGCCGCTCCAAGGCACAGCTTTCCCGCCGGCACCGACTCCCCTGCCCCCGGGCAGCATCCTGCCCAGTGACTGCAGCACCCCTGGACCCTGCAACCGCCCACAGCCCCACCCCTTCTGTAACAGCCGGCCCTGTAACGGCAGCCCAGGCTCCGCCCGCACCTTAGGGCCCGCACCACGCTGTAGTATTGGCGGTATCGCTCCTGCACCACGAGCAGCTCGGCCGGGTCCACGGGCGGCGGCACCTTGACGCGCTCGGCCTTGGACTTGGCGGGCGGGTCGTACCGCGTCTTCCGGCCCCGCGCGGGCACCAGCACAGCGGCGGGAAAGGGGCCGGGGTGCAGCGCAGCCCAGCAGCGCCTCAGCGCGGGCAGCATGGTGACGGCGAGAAGCCTCAGCTGGGCACCGCCATTGCCGCGATCCCCGCTCCGGAAGCGGAAGTATGTTTGGGGGGGGGGGTCTGGACGGGGCATGCGCAGAGCGACAGCTGGAAGCGAGCAGAGGGGTGTTCTGAACGGGCGCATGCGCAGAGGAGGGCACAGCTGGGAGCTGCCCCCCGCCCTCTCCAGCGTTTCGGGGACTGGAGGGTGGGGTCCTTCTGAGCGGAGCATGCGCAGACGGAGATGGGAGCGAGCTCCGCCCCGCGGTGTTCCAAGGCGCCCTGGTTGCTCCTCCCTAGAGCCAGCCGCATGTCCCTGGCGCGGTTTTAATCCCAGCAGGGGCACTAGCACAGCGCAGTCAAAATCCCGCATCTTGGCTGCGGCCAACAGTCCACTGCATCAAAAATACTCTGCCCTGATGTGGGCTTTCTGAGGTCTTTGCAGCAGAAACGTCACTGTTATTTTTCATAGTCAAAAAACAAGTGAAAGCAAAGAGCTGGCCTTTTTTGGGGATGGGGGAGCCTTCAGTGTAGTGAATCGGGCCTTGAGCACAATTGTGGGGGTGGGGGTCAATGCCTTGAGTCTAAAGCCATTGAGGCTCCCTGGCTGCACATTGATAACATGGCCACATCTGGACTAGTGCGTGTGCACTAGCATCCCCTCGAGGGCCTGGGGAAAACAATTATGGCAGGCAGACAAGGGGGGGAATGGGAAGAAATGACCCAGAGTTGGCAGGATAAGAGCACCTAAATTAACACCTGAACCAGAGAAGTCCGAGCTCTTCTGACTCCTTGTTTCCTAACACAAAAAGGAAGGGGCATGCCATGAAACGGGGTGAGAAATCCACTGCTGGCAAAGGGAGACACTGTTGTACCTGATGTTGCCCTAGGAAGCTGTGGGAATAATTTAGCAAGATTCCCAAAGGACTGGACAGACAGAGACAGGCAGGAAAACCCAGAGTCATCACAGTCCATAAGAACACGGCGCTGACTGCAACCGCGTCTCCCTTTGCCAGCAGTGGATTTCTCACCCTGTTTCATGGGATGCCCCTTTCTTTTTATGTTAGGAAACAAGGGAGTCCTGCTTCGGGCCTTAGGGTAGTCAAATGGTCCTGGATTTGCTTGGCCTGAAGAGCCTGGCGCCTTGCTCTGGTCCCGGTCATCCCTGGATCTGAAGCAGGCTGGCAGTGCCCGGGCTGCTTTGTGGATTTCTACCTATTTCCATCAGATTTACCCCGAGGTGTTTCCAGCAGTTCCAGTGGAGTCACTTCTGGTTGGCCAAATGTCTCAGTGGACATGGCAAGGTGTAAATCAGTGCAGAATCCAGTCCCCATTAGCAAAGAGCCAGTCTGCTCTCAGTGTGGTACATCTGGAGTAACTTCCACACATACGGAGTCAGTGGAGTTATCCCAGGTTAATTAGTGTGACATCTGGCCTCTGCGAACTGTTTGGGGATCTCCTCGGAGGGAGGTGTTATACAAGCTGGGTTGGAAAGAGGAGAGTGCTGTTCGGCAGGAACGATTAGTCTCCATTTCTTCCCCACCCCATGTACCTTTAAACTGATACGCTAGCAACCAGTTAGGCTGCTCCTGCATCTGCCCATGTTACTGGTTCCTGAAACAATCAGTAGGCAGGTCGAGAGCAGCAGCAGGGTAAGACTACATCGGATCTGAGCATTGGTGTTCACATTCACGTCTGCTCTGCCCATTGCCAGTCAGCCTGGGTCTGAGACCTCAGTGTGTGTGAGCTCCCAGCAGTTTGATTGATGGGGCCTTTGCCACATTTGCACCTGGGTAGTAACCTACATTTAGCCCTGAAAATCCACATACCCCTTCCCCCTGCTCCGCCTTGTCTTCTGTGCACTGCTGCCTCAGGGAAGTCACTTCACCAGGAATGGAGTTAGACGCAGCCTGCACACACAGGACTTGATGCCTCCAGCTGCTGCGGTCTTATTAGGGACCCATCACCATCACTTCTAAGCACTTCGCGGTCCCTGCTGACCTAGCCTCACCCTAGGCCTGTGACTTGTGGACAGCCTGGTTCCCTACCTCATGTTCAGAAATCAGGACTGGCTTAAAAGTGACGCTTTTTATTTTCCAGAGAGGTGAGGACACAAACATCCCTGGGATTGGGTGTGTAGCAAAATAAAGTCTTTTATTTAATGTGGTGGAGTTACTGGAGGGTGTGAGGGAGACTCCAGGCAGGTCCTCGCTCAGAGATGGACCCTGAACCTTGCTCGTTACCTGTGCTCTCAGTCGTCGAGTTGGACCAGCTGAGGCCTTCCCCCGTTCTCACCCCACCGCATGCACGCATGGGATCCACAGACACAACACCAAGCTGCAAAGGACACGACGGGGAGGGCTGCGGGGCAGGCAAGCATTTCATGAGCAGGCTGCGGCGGTCACTTCTTCTTCTGCAGCTGCCGCGCCAGCATGTTGGCCTGCTCGGACACAAAGGGGCAACATGGCGCATAGACTCACAGGGAAGTCAGGCTGGAAGGGACCTCGCAAGGTCATCTCATCCGGCCCCCCACTAAACCATCCCACCAAGCGTCCGTCCAACCTGCTTATGACAACTCCCAGGGATGGAGATCCCACAACTTCTCTGGGTGCCTGTCCCAAGGCTTGACCGCCCTCATAGCCACAATGTTCCTCCGAATCTCCAACCTAAATTTCCCCCACTGCAGCTTGAGGCCATTGCTCCTAGTTCTGTCCCCTCTACAGCCACAGAGAAAAGCCCATCTCCACCTCCTCTACAATCACCCTTCAGGAAATTTGAAGACTGACAATTAAGTCTCATTTGATTAGTCTTCGTGGAATTTTACTTGACACTATGCAGTGGGGTCCAGCTCCGGGGCTACTCCAGGACAAGTAGCAGTAATAATAATGTTGAACTAAAGCAGTTGTTCCACCTGGTACTCAGCTTGGCCTGTGGCTGCTTCTCTCCCAAATCTAATGAAAGCTGCTTGAAACCTGAAAGCTTGTCTCTCCCCACTCCTCAGCTTGGTCCAGTAGAAGGTATGGCCTCACCTCCCAAATCTGGCTTCTCTCATCTCCCTGGACCATCATGGCTACAGCAGCAGTGCTACCACAATCATATTATTGCTACTCTTGTTATGAGGTGCTCAGATATGGCCTGCTTATCCAGCCTTCAAAGAGGGGAAACTCCACTGGGGCAGCCCCGAATATCTTCCCTGACTGGTATTGCCCATCTCACTTCTTCCAGTTCACTCCCTGCCCCACACCTTAGGCACATGCCGACCCCTGGGTGCACTGCAGTCCCTTGCAATCAGTAATAGCCATTCATATGTAGAGTGATAATCATCCCGAGGACACAGATGCCATGTTCAGCTCCCACGCTGGCCCCGGCAGGAGCTTGGTGAGCTGCCTGGCAGGCCTGACTCTTACCAGCAGAGTCTTCACAACGTTCATCCTTGGGCTCCTCAGGTAAGTGCACTCCTCCCCATCACAGATCTTGATTTCTTCTGAAGCCTAAACTCACAAACAAAGCAGAGCGTGAGCCCCTCAGGCAGTGTGGGGAGACCAGGGCGGCTTTCATCACAGGTTTGGAGCCCAGCTCCGTGAGAACAAGAGACACAGGCACAGCTCAACCTGGGAAGGAGCCAGACAGGCTGCAAACCCTCCTGCAATAAGTCGAAACAGAGTCGGAAAAGACCTTCCCCTGTCGGGGGGGATCACTATTTGCTGGGGGGTTTTGAGCTAGTACTGCCTGTGCGGGACCCTCGTCTAGCTGAGCTGCTATGGCACTTCCGGTGTCCCTAAGGCTCAACAAATTCCCATCTGAGGGCGGCCAGCAGCCTGCAGGAGACACGTTCTTGGCCCTTGTGCAGCTCTGGGCAGAGACGGGCCCTCCCGACCACCCTCAGTGTCCCCAACACTGTCCCCTGCTGGGCTGCAGCTTGCGGGTGGTGGCTGGTGATGAGGTTCAGTCAGGGAGAAGCAAACCTTTCCCTCCCCTCCAGAAACCCTGAGGTCTCCACTCAAACCCACCTCCGCCAGGCAGGGAACTGGAAGGTAGAAACCACCTGGGAGAGGCTGCCGGGACTCTGCCCTCAGCATGGCTGTCAGCTTCTCAAGGTTTGGTCCATCACGATGGCCCAGCTGCCCCGGAGGATCACAGGGAAGGGACTTCAAAAGCCTGAACCCCTGGCCCGTGGCAGAGCCAACTCCACCCACTCTGAAGGATCCCAAAACGGTGGCAGCCAGGTGACAGGACCCCCGCCCCGACCTCCTCCTATCCTACGGGATCCCACCGCCATGAATCTGCTCCAGTGCTGAGCCCTCCTCGCGGTCATGGGCACAGAGTGGCAGCACAGAGCAGCAGGCCTGCTTGAGCCAAAGCCGAGGGCTAGAGGAAGCCCGGAGTTTGGGTCCCTTGCTGTATCCATGGTCTGTGGGCTGGTGCAGTGCTGGGAAGCAGGTGGTCAAATATCCACGCCAATACATTTACAGAGGACTCGATCCCAGGCCCCTGCCACCCCCCACAGGCCCCGTGCGAGCAGCGGGTGCTTGGTGGCGGCAGTGGAAATGGTCACTGTGGCAGAGGCTGCAACGCACCTGTGGTGCCTGCGACAAGTCCAGCTCCCTCTTCCCGCCGGGGTACCAGCCATGGGACCAGTGCTGGGCTCGTGCCAGGGGCACGCCGATGGCCAACAGGAGGACGAGCAGGAGCAGGAGGGACCTCGGGCATGCCATGGCGCTGTCTGTGGGGTGGGGGTGGCTGGCACGGTGCACTCTGCAAGGGGAAGAGGGTCAGATGGGTTGCGCCACTGCTCTGGGGCTTGACACATGGACTCCAGGCTGCATGCAGGCCTGGACTCCTGGGTTCACTCCCAAGATCTCCCACCAGCTCACTGGGGAGCCTCAGGCATGGTGCTCACCCTCCTCGAGTCCTCCTTACCTTGGGAAGGATGGCATCCGCCTGCCTGGCGAGGCTCAGTTGGGTAACGCCAACAAGAGGTGGCGCTTGGAGAAATGCTCTCACTGGTACCGTGACATTGTTCCCGGCCATGGCCATGGCCCTAAGCTGGCAGGACTATTCAGGACCCCTAAACCATTATCCCCAGAGGGGCTGGGAGAGCACATGATGGTGCAGCCCCACCTCAGTCCCTCCACCATGGTGCCAAGGTAGTGGGCATAGCGGGGCATTAAGGAGTGCTTTCCCCCAGGAAAGCAAACCAGACTGGCTCTGGACTGACAGCGCTGGCAATGCGTAACACCCCACTGGGTCCAGGCCACTGCTCTGGGGTCAGGCCAGCGCAGCAGGGGAGGGGAGAGCTGGGCTGGAGCTGGGGGGCCTGTCCTTGTACCCTGAAGGGACTGAGGCAGTAAGTCAAAGCCTCCTCAAGGGCTCCTGGGGCATGACCCCCCTCCCTACCCCCCTGCCAGTCCAGACCCTGGCTCCAGGGAACAAATCCTACCCTCACGCTAAGCTGCAATGCAGAGGCACGGGGGAGCGGGGGACTTGCCCATGGCCATGCAGGATGGCAGTGGCAGAGCTGAGGCCACTGGTCTGGGGTCCCAGTAGGAGACCGGAAGAGCCCTCGGCTGCATCATCCCGTGAGCAGCAGCCACGTGGCTCTGCCCAGAGTCTCTGAGAGCTCAGGTCCGGAGGAGGGATCTCGTTCCTTCCAAAGGTGATGCCCAGAGGCCAGATCACCTCAGCTCCAGCTCCCAGCGCTCTGCGGCTCTCTGGAGGGCTCGGATCTGGATCTCCAGAGTGCCCAAACTGCTCAAAACCTTGAAGCAATGCCCCTGCCCCAGCCTCACGGCTGTGAGCCCAAAGGCTCTGGGACTGGAACCGACCAAATAAGCTCAGGAATAAGGTTTCTGTTCCCCTCTCTAGTGTCAAGCAGCTGCAGCATGTGGGATAGCCCCTGGCCCGGGACAAGGGGTGAATGTGCCATCTCTGCCCCTCCGCTCCCCAGCTGTGCGTCGGGGCTAAAATCCATCTTTCCCTGCTTGGTGGTGGGGCAGAGAGGAGACCGGCCGGCCCCGCAGGGGCCCGCTCCACCCAAACCAACCCTGACCTCTTGGATAAGGCTGGAGGCCTTCTCGAGCCAGGCTGCCAGCAGAAGGCGGCTCTGGAGAGAATCAGGTGCATCCACCTGTGGCCGGTGCCCCCCGCTCTTCCCCACAAGCGCCCCGTCTCCCCCTTGCCCGACAAGACCCGGCTCACTGGCCGTCCTCACTCACCCTGCCCCGGATCTGCCTGGCTCTGTCCTGAGGCTCGATTGCTGCCAGCCCCGCGCACTGTCGATATTTATACGGCCGTGTCACCGGGCTCCCCTCCGTGGGGACTGCAGGCTGACGCTCACTGCAGGCTGCCGTCTGACGAGGATGCGTTTAATCCCCCTTGCCCGCAGCCCGTGCTCTGATGAAAGGGTCTCTGGGGTGTGCCTGTGGCCCGGTGGCCAGCCCGTCAGCTGCCGGAGCGCCTTTGAACTTGGCAGCTTGTGCAAGCGGATGGGAGCGGAGCCACTCGCGTCTCCGGCGCTCTCGTGTTGCGGGGCAGTCGTTCGCCATGGCTTTGGGCAGCCAGCAGCCTCACCTGACGGCTGGGCGTGGGGCGAGCAGGCAGGCTCCTGCAGAAAGTCTTGCACCGGGTGGTCTGGCCTTGCCCTCTGATTCGAGGGCAGCAGGGATGGGGGTGGCCGGGGATCAGTGCGATTCCCACCCAGGCCTCCCCAAGTTCTTAGCAGCCTGGGCTGGATGATGGGCATGGGGAAGCTGGGGTGATCCTGCTTCAGGCAGGGGGTTGGACTGCGTGACCACTGGAGGTCTCTTCCAGCCCTGCTTCCCCGCAGATCTGATTTCTCTGAGGGGCTCCCAGGCCAGGCACTGGCTGGGTAAGATGCATCTCATTTAAGTGATGGAGGTGGCCAGGGCTGCCTTCCAGGGGTGCTAATGTCTTCCAAAGACAGGAGGGCAGCCCTGAGCCCCACAATAGGCAGCCTGCATCTGCCCCTGCCACACGCACAAGCCTGGGGTGGCATGTGCCTCTCTTGCCCCCCCAGGGATGTGCTGCAATTCAGCCAGAGAATGGAGAGCCGTTTCAGCCTGGGTGCAAGGGTCTGCAGCTCCCTGGGACATCAATGGGAACTGCTCTTGCATGCACAGAGACTGCCTCTGTGTGTGTGCGTGCACACGCGGGTCTGTGTGTACATGTGCGTGCACCTCCTGTGCAGCAGAAGGTAGAAAACCAGGAGGGGAAAGCAAATCACAGAGTAAGAAAGAGATGCTGCTTACAACTCTCGCCATCATGCCGCCTGCCCCAGACCTCCTGTCCCAGGATGAGGCCTCCGACTGGGAGTGGGACATAGCAGGTACCCTGGGCTGCCACGCGCCCCATGGCCACCGGCTTCCCTCCCCATTCACCCCATCAGCAGGGCTGGAAAGCTGGAGCAGGACCTTGGCCCATGCCCTTGCCAAGAGCAGCATCCCCCACCTGGGCAGCTGGTCCCTGTAGCCACAACCACCGTGCTGCTGCCTGGAGGCAGCTGGCACCGCCGCAGCCCCAGGAGGAGCCGGCAGCAGGTGGCATTTCCCAGCTCAAACGACATGCGCCCATGAGAGCTGTTTGCCTGCAAGGGAGGCATCACCTCTAGAGCCCGCCGGGTTAAACTCATCAGGGCAAACATGGCCTGTGCTAATCGAGCTGCCACAAGGCCCCTGAGGCATCACCGGTCCTGATGAGCTCAGCCAGCCCTGCCCGCATGCTTGGATTCTGCCTGTCCTTCCCGTGCCTCCTCCCCTGCCTGGCCATGGGTGAGCGTGAGGCCTGCCCAGGCACTTGCCGTGCCACTCATGTCATGAGCCCCCACCCCCATGACAAGGAGACACACTAAGGGGACCACCTTTGCAAAATGGAAAGAAGGACTCATGTCTGCCTCCCTCCCTCCCCCACAGCCCAGCAGTGGGGGAAGATGTAGGCTGCCCACTGCCAGCTCCAGTCTCCCCGCCCTGCTGCTTTTCCCCCAGGAGTCCCATGCCAGCCCCACACCCTCTGCCCACACAGCAGCAGTGGGGGGCACAACTCCACGCTGTCACTGCCCCCGCTGCTGCCAGGCAGACAAGGGGCACCTTGCCATCATGGCGTGGCCAGTACAGGAGGGCAGCCCTGAGCCCCACAACAGGCAGCCCGCATCTGCCCCTGCCCCGTGCACAAGTCTGCGGTGGCATGTGCCCCTCATGCCCCCCCAGGGATGTGCGCAGTGACAGAGAGCTGCCCATGTCTCCATCCTGCTCCACATCCTAGCCCCTGGCCCCATGCACTGCCCTGGCTGGTCAGTGTCCCAGCCCCTGCCACACTCCCTCCCTCACCATGGGGGGGCCTCAATCTACCCCCCCATGCACCCTCACCCCCCCATAGACTTACCTGCAGGGAGCTGCTCTCCACGTTGCATGGCTGCGTTCCTGGCCACTCACACGTGTGTAGGCGTGCACATACATGCAGTGCCCCCTGCGTCCTGCTCCCAGCAACCCCAAGCAGGCTGGATCGCTGCCGTCCTGCAAGGGGAACACCACTGTTTCCCAATCCCCAAACAATGCTGTGAATCCAGGACAAATGTTGTCCTGGTGTCATGCAGCCCGGGACTAGGACTTGATGTTCCCATTCTGGGACTGTGCCACCCAATTAGGGATGGGTGGTCACCCAAAGACACAAGCAGCACAGAAACTTTTGCTCGGGGGCATGAAGCTGCGACGCAATCTCCATACGTGTGCACAGTCATGTCGGTGGCTTGTTAGGGCCAACAACTGCATTTTGCCAGGACGCCAGTGTACTGCCCCGTGCTACGACAGGGCCCTGAGATCTCCAGACATGTGGCTGTCAGAGCAGAGATGATGAGCTGGGCAGGACCGAGGGGGATCAACCTCGTGGCTCAGAGCCCCACACAAGGGCCAGCGAGGCCCAGCCTGGCCTGAAGCAGGGCAGGGGTGTCCAACTCCCCTCCTGCAGGGCCTGGGAACATGTCCATGCCATGCCCTGGGAACTCCCACATGCCATCTTGTCCAAATCCATCAAGCAGGGTTAAGGCTGCTGGCACTTGCCCCAGAGCCACAACCACGGGCACAATGGCCTGAAGGGAGGCTCTTTCTGTGGCTGAGCTGCCCCGTGGGGGCCCAAGCTGCCTTGTCAGGTGGGGCTGAATGGGGCTGACAGCCTGGGTTAGGGGAGTGCCTGAAGCAAGAGCATGTCCCGTGACCATGTCGCAGTCAGGTGCTAGCAACTGCATCTCCCTGGGCAGCCATGTCCCCCTTGTGCCTCAGTCTCCCATTCTTCCAAAACAGGGCTGGTGACTGCCCCCAACATCACCACTGGGAAAGGACACACCATGGGACCAATCCCACAATACCCCTTGCGGGGGGGGGGGGGGGGCGCTGTTAAAAACAAAAGGGGGGGGTTTTTTTTGCTTCGGGGGTTTGAAATTCCCCCCCCCAAACACCCCCCGGGGACACACCCCCCAAACCCCCCTGGGGGGGGGGGGGGGGGGCAGCGCTGCTTAAATGCAAAGTGATGGGTTTCTTTTGCTGCTGGTGCTTGCAATCTCCACCCCACAGACAGCTAGAGCCCATGCCTCTGAGGCACAAAATGGGTGAAACAGGATGGGGAGGAGTGTGGGGGAGGACCCATGAGCTGACAGGCCTCAGACTGGGGAGAAAGGCCGGGGCTTTCATTCATAGACATCTCCAGGCTTCTTGGATTTCCT